TGGACAGAGCCAAACACCTACAAAAAAAATGAGATGGTTTTTGGAATTTGTAGTTCTCAAGAGAAATCAGGATATGAGTACTACAAGAAGCTTGATACTGTTTACGCACTACTGGATCCCAACATCAAAAGGTTAACTACGTGCACAGAAGAGATGAAGAAAGACATTGCAATACTGCAAACTTTCATGAACCTGCAGAGGGACCATCAACATCGATCAACGGTCCCATCAATCCATCGATTGAAAGTGAGCCAGCACCAGATCCATTGAAATCTGAAATTTACACTAAAAAGAGATTGATAAGTTAGCAGAGGATATATGCAAAAACATAAGTTCAGTAGAGAACATAATGGATTTGAGATGTGCTGATGTCTTCTTCTCCTTCAACAATAACATTGATTTTCTAACAGCCAGAACAGATGAACTGAAGAAAGAGTTAGCTGCAATACAGAGTTACATTGCAGGTCTACCAGACACTTCGGCATCGATGGACAACACCATACTACCATCGATCGATAGAGGTTTGACTCCAGCGCACGGAAGGCTAGAAACAAAGGATACCACCCTACTTAACCTCCATACTGAGAAGAACCCAACAGATGATACATATGCTACACTTTTGAAGCATCAGTTCAGTACTAAGAGTCTTGGAGAAATGTTGTAGAAGATAGAGAATGCTATTGCAACAATGAATGACAAGTAGATCAGAGGAGATGAAGCAATTAGAAACTTCACTGGTACATGGTTTCATAAGAGCAACAATAAGGTTGAGACGTGTTTCCCAACAAGTAGCTGCTTTCAACCTCACTAGCCAACCTCATTCCAAAAAGTCAAGCTAAATGACTATAACAAAGCGCTGAGTGGGAGGCAACCCACTATTAGGTAATTTCACTCATTTTTCATTTAATTCGTATTTACTTCATTTTATGTCTTTATGCAGGTTGTTTTAAAGAAAAAAGATCCAAGAAGAAGAATTCCGGTCGAGATCCAGTCGACATCGATCGACATGTATAACACCTGCGGTGAACGATGGCATCATTCTTCCATCAATCAATACTGATTTCGGTCAGGTATATAATTTATTTCTCGTTACATTTCATACATTTGATTTTGATAATTCTCACATAACTCCGGCTGGTTTAAACTGGGGACAATGTAATTTACGTCTGGGGGGATGTATACTGATATTGAATTTATTTTTGAGTCTTATTAAAAATGTTTTTAAAAAGAGTTTTATTGAGTCAAGAAGGAGATGATGATTACCTTAAGTTTTGCTTACTATCTAACCACTCTTTAACACCATTCTAGATTTTTAATTTCAGATAGTACTAAAGATATTAAAGTGGATCAACATGTCAACTAACCACACTTCTTGAGAGTGTTTGAAGGAACCAAAGCTGATTTCCAACCTAATTTGACTACTATTGCTTGTCTTGGGACTTGGTATACATTGGATCGGACTTCTTTTACAAGTTTGGAAGGTAAAAAGTCTGTGTGTTTCTGATTTCCTTATTTCTCTCTCTTCAGCATCTAGAAAAGAAAATATTGAGATGATTTCCTGAGACGGAGAAGGGTAGGTAAATTACCGATGACTCCACTATTCTAATTCAAAGGAATGATAACACTTTAATGAAAGTGAGGGGTATGTACATTACCGATGACCTCACTATTTCTGGAAGTAGTGATTTCCTATGCATGTAGAGTTGACTGTGGTTTAGTAAATTTAACTAACGTATAGTGAATCTAATATAATTACAAGTATATAAACATTAATTAAGATTTAGAAACTTGAAACATAATCATTGAAATACAATGCATATGTTTTAAAATGTAAAATTAAAATACATGTATAATAACCAAAAACATGTATTATACTTGAGTCGGAGAAGTATGGTTCCAAGCTCACCATCGTCGTTACATATCTTGAGTATCTGCATCAACTCTCTTTTTCAGTGGTGAAGGTGAGCTTGGGTGTGGTGGAGGAAGCTGAAGAGGCTTGACGAGGTCATGGGGCGGCTTGCAGCGAGGAGGTGACGCAGAAGCTGGTGAGGACGCGGGCTCAATAAAATTAGGTTTAGCTAACATTAGGTTTAATTAATATCATGTTTAGATTAGGTTTAATTTTTTAAAAAATTGGCTTAGTGTAAACCGATTCTTATTTTATATCGAATGTAATATATAATGTTTAATAAAAACAATCATTATGTTTTAAGTTTTAAAATAATTAACTATAAATAAATAAATAAATTTAAAAATAAATAATTTTAATGAAAATAATAATTAAATAAACTTGATTAAAATATATTAAATTGCATACAAAAAAAAAACACTATAATTTATCACAATATGATAGCAAAGCAAAAAACCGCTATCTAATGTACCTGACCTATTATGATGGGCGATAATACATCGCTTCATAAACCGCTATTATATCGTTAGATAGCGTTTTTCGTCCGCTAATAAAATCTTTTTTGCTTGTAGTGAATGAAGTGTTTGTTGCTATTTAGTTAGTTACTTGACTTCAATTGATCCTACAACCTTCGAATTTACAACAAGATCTTCAGACATCTTTAATGATAATGAAAAGCTTGAAGATGAAGCCTTCTCAACAGAAAGAAAGAAAGGATCAATGAAGGTAAGGAAAGAGATTCAATTGGCCGGTAGAGCTGCAAGAACTATAGGTCGATTATAACCGGAAAATCCTAGTGAAACACTGCCGTCAACACCAATAGTGCGACACAGTGACAAGAGTGAGCCGAGAAGAAGGTGAGGACACTGAATTCAAAATTCGGCCGACCACCAAAGGACAAGTGCAACGCCAGAGACAAAACTGGTCGGATAAAACGAAGCCGGAGATAGAGTCTCTTTATCTGTTATATATATTAACACAACACTTTATATGTTATATATATCTATACTATTATTTGAGAAGTGAATTTGCTGGTTTGACAACTTCTCCATTATTATAGGAAATTTTCTTATTTGTTATGTTTTAATAATTTTATATATAATTTATTTTATAACTAAAACAAATTTATATCAATAATATTATTTTTAGAAAATACGATAATTCTTATATATTATGTTGCTATCTTGAAAATATATTTTCTATTATTAAAATTAAAAATAAAATAAAAATAATATTTAGGAAGTGAATTTGATGATTTTTCAAGTTTTCCGTATTTTAGATAACTTAACTTATTTGTCATGTTTTCATAATTTTTTATATAATTAAGATGCTTTATATTAATAATATTATATTTTTAAAATAAGATAATTCTTATGTATTATTTTTTATCTTAGAAATATGTTTTCTATTATGAAATTTAAAAATTAAAATATAAAATATAAAATTTATAACTAAATATAATAAGCAAAAGCATTTGTATAAATATAAGTTTACAAGTATTTATTAAATGTGAGTGTTGTCATTTATAAGTAATTTGATGTTTGATTTAATTTTTTTTTTAAAATAAATAATAATTTATTATGCTAAACTTTTGAATTAATAAAATATAATTAATAAATATTCTCAAAATTATTATACAAAATACTAGGTAATAACCCGTGCCTTGCGTGGAATAAGATTATTATTTTTGTTACTTTCAAGATAAAAATGATATTATGTCTGTTTAGCATGGAAATTATTTCATTTTTACGTTGTTTATTTAATGTCCTAAAATATAGCTATCATTATAAATCTATATTTATTTTGGTTTGTTTGGTTTAAATGTTTGATGTTTTCAATTTTTTTGATGATAACCAAAAACTATTGTTATTTGTTTTGTTTCATTTTATATAAATTTTAGACATTTTTTATGTCGAACTAATAGTTTCCTATTATAATTTCTAAAGACATGTAAAATCAAATAAAATCTAAATAATATTTGAAGAAAAAAAAGAAAATAAAATTATTAACACAGAACATTTCACTACAATTTGAGAGATAGGAAAACACTAAAAAAAATCAACTTCAATAAGAATTATAATTCTCACTTATGGTGAATATTTAGTTATATAGTCGTTCATGTCAATGTGTACATATATGTATATGTAAAAGTATATAAATGTGATGATAAATATATGAATATACCGTTAATTAAGATTTAAAACATTTTTGTTCAAAATAACACATGATAGTAAATTCTTAAATAAAATTAAGTAAAAATAAAACAAACCTAGAGATTAATAACATTTTTTCATATGAAGAAAATCAAATTGTACCCGTAAAAAATAAAAAAGAATATATATTACAAAGTGATATCTTCACTTGGTACCTAAATTCTGTTTTTAATTGATTTTTTGATTTTTATTTCTTTTTCAAGCTTTTTTATTTCTGATTTTTTTCTACCAATTTTATTTTGTTTCTAGTTCTTGGTCTAATATGAAAACTTTATAAAAATATTAATATTTTGACTAAACTAAAGATCCGAATTTACATGTGGTGTTTTTCACCTCAGTTTTATTAATTCATAATTAATCACCGTATTTGTTGTTATTGTGTACCGAAGCCTCAACCATGACCAACTTCGACAAGGTACAAAACTTTCAATTTCTACAAACATTTTCATCGCAACATTTTAGTTGTTGCGAATCTTAATGATTTTTTATTTTTTTTACAATAAAGATATTATTCATTAGTTTCACGTAGAAAGTTTTAATTTATTAATACAAAGGATAAAAATGTAGGAAAAGTGAATTAATTAAAAATAGTGTATAAATACATTAAATAATGAATTTAAAAAATTAGTGTGTGAACGCATTAATTGCCAAATCATATTGAGGCCGACACGTGTCAGTTATGGTGTGAATGAATTTATTACAATGCTTCTCTTTTAATATATAACGGATGCGGACAAAACATTTATTATAGTAGTTAATGCTGCATGGAAGAAGAGCATTTACGATAAAATATATATATATATATATATATATATTTAAATCTCTTTATATATGCTGTGGTATACGAGTATAGGAACAATATACAAAATCAAAGGGTAAGAAAAAAAGAAGAAAATGAGTGAAGAGAAGAAGCAGCAGCACTTCGTGATGATACATGGTTCATGCCACGGCGGGTGGTGCTGGTACAAGGTTAAGCCACTTCTCGAGGCCGCCGGTCACCGCGTAACTGCCTTAGACCTAGCTGCTTCGGGTATAGACTTAACCAAGTCTATCACTGAGATCTCCACATTTGAACAGTACTCTGAGCCATTGATTCAACTAATCGCCTCTTTACCAAGTGATGAGAAGGTTGTACTAGTTGGTCATAGCCTTGGAGGGATGAGCATAGCCATGGCCACGGATAAGTTCCCAGACAAAATCTCTGCCTTAATCTTTGTGGCTGGTTTCATGCCCGATACCAAAAACTCACCATCGTTCGTCGTGGATAAGGTTTCTTGTTTTAACCCACCCTTTATAAAAATAAAAGGTTTCTTGTTTTTAACGACCAATACTTTTTTCTTGTTTTAGAGCTAGAAATTTTAATAATTGAAGCTAAACAAAAGCAAATGTATTAAACCAAAGTAAGACTTTAAGACTTTGATATCTTGACATAATTTTCTCATCTCATGTCAGAGGTCCCTCTTCGAGTTGACATTGAGACGAAACTATATAATTTCATAAAAGAACTTTCTAATTTTTTCTCTCAAATATGTTTTTCTAAGTTCTCAAATTTTCCAAACCTTATTACATATTTGATAAGCTTTGATTTCTATCTTCTATTTGTAATTCACGACTTTATCTGTTGCTTTAGTTAAAGATAAGCGGTTATGTCAAGACGACTCCGTCAACATGACTTTTGTGGTGAAAAAATTTCTTAATAGTGGTTAAACAAATCAATGGCCAGATTAATGCATGTATCGCTCCCTATATTTGAAAATTGACAACTTTATTTGTCAACACGACTTTGTCAATACGACCGACCACTTATTGTCTAAACAGAGTTATTTAAAAAAAAAAGAACTTTAGAAATATCACTACAAGATGATTTAGTATGATGTGGGAAGTCGCCCAAATGATCCGTCTATAGCTCTGATATTGGTTTTAAAATTATAGATATTAATCTTAATTACAAGCAAATAGTAATGAATAGTTCTTCTATCTGTAGATACGATGTTAGATTTGTCTTTAGGTTTGAGGCGAGACATGTTGACCCTTAGAGCATCCCAAGTCCCTCTTGGAGTTCATCTTTTCCTTTTTTTATTGTTAAATTTTTTTTTTTTTTCTCTTTTGTTTTCAAAAAAAAAAAAATTAGACCAATCGTGCATCACCGCATGTCGTGGGGTCCGCGCTACAGTGATAAACTTTAGAAAAGAGGGGTTCAACAGAGAGAGCTTTAGGAGAGAGAGGATCATAGGGTTTAGTTATTTTAATATTTTTTGTGTTGAAAAACGTGTGAATCTTCCATCTAAACCTTTGATGGGGGTGCTCTTATAGGGTATAATTTTATTACTTTTGTTCTTCTAAAACATTCAATTTACCACTCTGAATGGGGTGAATCTCCATTTTTGGATTCTTTAAAATGTGTGGTGATTATGTTATAACCATAGACCAAAAAACTATAACATGTACGTGAGTACAATGAGTTTAATTTCACCTACACTAGAACTTTTATAAATTAATATTCGATAAATTAATAATTTCGATAAATTAATAAAATTTTACACAAACCGATAGAATAATAAGATAATATTTTAAAAAAAAAATCTATGTAAAATATAACTTCACTAAAATGATAAATTAATAATTTATATGTATACATATTTAATAAAAGTAAGAACCTATTATTGTATTTGATATAGTTTTGATGAGATTTAGTAATATTATATCTAAAACCACATTTAAATTATGTGCAATATATAGTATAGACAGCAGATAATATGATAAAACTAATATAAATGTCAAATTTCAGAAAAATAATAATTAATATCTATACACTAAAATCAAATATATTTTTATCTTAGAATAAATATATCTTAAACTAAGAAGTCTAAATAAGAAAATTTTGTACATTAATATCTCTTTAAACAAATATAATTTTGAAGTCTCAACATTATTAATTTATAGAGATTCTACTGTATTACTAATAGTCCAAGTAGTACGTTCATATTGGTTACATGTTTACCGCCATATCAATCTAATGAAGTTTCAGTTTTGTTCTATAAATTCAGTTGTTTTTAACTCGAAACATAAATCTAAATTTTAACTCTACAATCATGTTAAAGTTTAATCGAGAGACTCCGCCAAAAGCATGGTTGGGCTCGGAGTTCAAATCGTATGGTTCAGACAATTCCGGTATGTCACTTTTGTTCAGCACTGACTTCCTGAAGCAAGCTCTCTATCACCTTTCTCCTATTGAGGTAATTTGATGTATCATCATTAAAATCATTATGATAAAATTGATAATTAATACTCATGTTCATGTGTATGGTAATCTTGATTTAGGATATTGAGCTTATGTCGCTTCTAAAGAGGCCAGGATCAATGTTCATCAATGATTTATCCAAGCTGAAGAACTTTTCTGACAAAGGGTATGGATCTGTTCCTCGAGCTTACATTGATAATTAATACTCATGTTCATGTGTATGGTAAACAAAATAGCATGATCCTAATGTATATAGAAAATGAAAAGCAGTTATAAATGAGTAGTGTACACATGTTTCGTTATCCTCGTGTACACTTTTCTAATGTATATTGGAGATTATATAAACTGAAAAGCAATAATACATCTCCATTTTCATAATAAAGTTTCAAATAAAAACCAAACTTATTATCACTTATGGTACAACAGTTCTCATTGTGCACAATGTACATTTGCCACACAATAGCCACATGAAAATACGTTTATCACATATATGTTTGCAAATCCAACAAAAATCACATAGTATGTAGTATTAATGGAGTTTCATGAAATCTGGAAGTTGAAAGAGATTGATCAACACACATAAACAGACTATCTTCCAACACAAATCATACACCAAAACTGCTAACGCTTTAAATGAGATTGATGACAGCTGACATTCACAAAGGAGCTCATAATCTTTCTTCTTAAAGCTTGGGCAATGTCATCTTCTTTCTTTTCAACTTATCCGTGAATCCACTTTGATACATTTGAACTGAATCCAAATAAACATGTTCTCTTGTAAGAGATCAAATACCTCACATTTCTTTTCAGAAGCAAGATTTTCATACTCAAGCTTCAGTTTTCTAATCTCTGCTACCAATGATTTATCATCCCAGTAACTATTTTCTTTCTGCATATAAAAAGAAGTTTTAGTTGAGAATTTCTACAGCCAAAACCCACCAATAAAGAGCTTAAAAATTAAAACGTTTACATAGTTTTGTATTCAGAAAGATGAATCAAACCATGCCCTGAAATCAACTTTTTATTTACTTTTGTAGTCTGATTGAGAAAATGATTTTGTTTCTACAATTCAAATGAACAAAAAGAAAAAAAATAATATAACTTTGATAAGAAAGGTCTGAACTTTAGTTTAATATTTAAAAAATGAGTCACCTAGTTTCACGTTGCAAAGAGAACGATCCCTTTCCTTTAGTATTGAAAATAGATTTGAGTTTAGCTTCAAATTCATCATGTCTTTAAGAAACGATTCAACCTCATCTTGTTTCATCCGTAGAATATTTTCCAAAGACTTAAAAATCGTATCCCAACTTTCCCGATCCGAAGAATATATATAACTGATTTTTGTCCATCTCATAAATGCACAGTCCAATTTCAATAGAAAAAGCAAATGTCGCAGATGAAAAAGAGAGATTTGTGTATCAAAAAAAAGAGAAATGGATATATGCAATCTCAGCCGTCAAAATATAAAGAAAATCAATGGCTAAAAACAAAGACCCGCCACTTTCCAGGTTCAGTTAGTCAAAATTATGGTTAGAGTTGAACTGGAAATGTTAAAACTCAAATACTCGTTAGAAAAAAGTGCTCTAGTAGAAGAAAATGTCCTAGAATGAAATAAAGAAGTCATAAAGTGACTTGTAAAGTAAATCTTTCCTTTTAAATTGGGGCAATTTTAAACACGTGGCAGGTAAAAGTTATCATATGATTTTATAAATTTTTGGTGCCATTGGACTCTCCTCGCGTCCGCAAGCACTTCTTCTCCTTTGTCTAAAGATGAGAAGAAGCAAGAGTAGCATCAGTAACAAGAGTGAGCAAATGTAAAAAGAAACTTAAAAAAAAACAAACAAACAAGAGCATAAGTACTATGACAATTCACCACACCCATTCATCAATTGCGATAGATAGGCGTTACAAAAATACAGCTAGGCAAGGCCATAGGTCAGTGGAGGTCAAACAAACCAAATACTCCATCTCTTTTAATAAGATGTACTGATCACGACCGTACAGATTTTTTAAACTAAAATATTTTAAATTATATAAAAATATTTATCAGTAAATTAATATTATTTGATATGGTATACTATCTAGCTTTATAATAATGTTTGTGTTTCTTATAATATTATTATTAGAAACTTAAAACAACATTATTGTATAATATTACTAATTTACATATTTTTGGTTGAAATATATGTGAAAATTAAATTAGATGGGACCTAACAAAATAAAGAAACAAATGTTTGGGATATTTTTAAAATTATTTTACATAATTATTAATTTTTGTTTATAAATCAAAAATGAATTAAAACTTTAGTTATATTTTATGATAATTAGATTTAATCAAATAATTTTCGAAAATATATCTTAAAAAGATTCTAAATTTTTTATAAACATTTTTGTTAGAATTTTCTTAAAAATATTTACTTATATTGCAAATAAAAAATAAAGATATGAAAAGATATTTTAATTATGTTATGTAAAATTTAATAATTTTTCTAAGGATGGTCCAAATAAAAAACAAAATTACACAGGAAAGAAGTCATGACTTCTGTTTTAATATTATAGATGTTTTATAATTTTTACACATATTAAAAATATATATAAATTTTTAATTACTAATACATGAATTTTTTAACTTGATATTCCCAATAATGTTTTATGGAAAATTAGAAAAAAAAAAGAGACAGTGGCAATTTAGGTTTGTCCCAAAAGGCTTGTAGAAGATTATTTAGGTAACTAGGATTTTTTCTTTTTAATACCATTATACAGTTCAATTAATTTAATTAATAATAATATTTTGTAACTGATTTACGTTTTTATTAAAAAGAAAAGAAACAGAAAGAAAAAAAAAACACAGAAGAGGTATGGCTCATCCCGACCTTCGATGGTCTTCTTCGGCTCCTCATTACTGTGTTCTCCCTCGTATCCCGTTTATGTCCGAGTCCGTTTAACATATGTCCATTTAGAGCTCGTTTAAGTTAAGCCCGTTAAGAATTCGTTTAAGTAAAGCTCGTTTAGCATCTAACCCGTTTTGAGCCTGTTTACTTGAAAAAAAATGAACATGATCATTTTGAATCATAATGTTTCAAATCTCTGCTAACAAACCCTTCAAATAAAATAAAAATCCATAATCATAATCTGGCTTCGTCTCATCGAGTTCGTGGTCATACTATGTTCCAATCGATGTTACCAAGCTTCCTCAACGGCGTCAACTTGCGATGTCACTCCTCCGCTCATATCCGAAGGTTCCAATTTCGCTGTGCTTTCTGCTTCATTCCACTGTCTCCGTTACATCAGAATCAGCCTTTGCCATCGTGGATCGAAAGAAAGCTTGTCGAAGAGCAACAATGGCCAGTTTAGATAATTTTACAAGACAGGTCTTCAAACTTTTGACTAATCACAGATTTGTCCCATATCTTTATGTTTATACATATGCTCTTAAAATTAATTCCAAAACTTTCAATCGCAATCTAGACCAGCTAGTATTCTTGTTTTTCAGCCTTGGTACCTGAAATTTTTGTTGTTTTAATGTTTGCCCTAATCTTCCAAATTTTAAAAAATATCCCTATGATTTTGCCTTAAACTTCCAAATATGCATTTTGACCCTCTTATTCAATATGTACAAAAGGCAGAAATTAATCTTGGATTAATTTTAAGATTTTTATTATACTTAGTAGTATGTAAAATGGTATACATATCAAAGTAAAGTGAATCATGTGTGGTATAATGACTTGTGTGTGTTGTTTTCTCTTGAATAACTCGGGTTCGAGTGAAGAAAAGAGCTGTTTGATGATTTTTTGACCCTAGAGAAAAGATATCGTGCGAGATTTAGGATAGATTTAGAAAATATACTTATCGAATTATAGAAGTTTTCATATTCCTGTGATTTACCTAAAATATATATTATATGTATAGCAAAGCACTGAACAGATGGCATGAGATTTATTCCTTATTACGCGTATGATAACATGAAAGACAAAACAAGTTATGACACATAAAAATGGGTATTTCATAGAGTCATAGTTATAAATCGTAATAAAGATAAAAGTAGACTAAAGAATCTTGTTAGAATATCACCTGACAAAATCTAGCTAAGAGAGAATATAGAAGAAACTATTGTTTGTATTCTATACCCAAGATAGATCTATGTGTACAACTTATTATCCTATTTCTAGATTAAATTGATAGCTAGACTAGAATGAGTGTTATGTCTGCGCTAGAATATAAAATAAAACATGATTTCACTATTTTTAAAAAAAAATCTAAACATAACCATACTAGTGTTTCCAATGGTTTTCATTTCTTTTTTCAAATTTTAGCTTACTATTTTTTTCCATTACGCTAAGGTAAAACATGTCTAAAATAATCAAAAGTATCAAAAGTTCTGTTTAGACAAACAAAATTGAAAGTGTCTATTTAGACAAACAAACCCACATAGATTGAGTTAACTGTTAAGTCAATAATCAATAAGATTTCACATACACTTTAGTCAACAAAATTCCACATACACATTAATTCACTCCTACCTACGAAGTTGTATAGTCTCTTTCTGTCACCGATGAGTGCTCGGACAGACCGCAAACTCATCACCCGTAGCTTAAAAGCTCTAAGTGTAGTAATATTTTTCTTAATAAAATTAATTTAACTGAAAATGAAATGTTGAACATTTTTATTTTGGTGTAGATCATATTTTTTATATAATTGGATTAATTTTTATTTATATTAAATATGAAACGATATATAATATATCATTTAATTTAATTTATTTTTCAAAATATTTTAGCCCATATTGTAAATTCTAGTCTTGAATTGTTAGTAAAATCTGTATATTTTATCAGTATAAGTGAGTAATTTTTTATACTTCATAATAGTATTATATGATTTTGTTTCACTAGCATGGATAATTTTATTTTGACATTTATCTGATATATTTAGATATAACTTTAATTATAAAACTTATTTGCTCTCAAATTATTGATTCTAACTTTTAATTTCTATACATAATTTTATTTTATAAGAAAGTTTATTTTATTTTAAATGAAATGAATTTGATATTTTTGAAAATACAGATATTTGTTAATTTAAGTTTCTTCTTATTAACGACCATTAAGGAAATTGTAGTGTTTTCATTGCAGTTAAAGATATTTTATATAGTCTAGCACATATTAAAGTTATTTTTAAAATTGTTATGGTTTTAATAGTATATATATATATAACTAGGGGAGATCCGCGCGATACTTTAGAATGTTTTTGAAGTTTTTTTCATATGTATTTTTGGTTGTATTCTTGTTTGGTTGGAACCAATATCTCACTTGTTAGGACCGGTGTAATCGCAAATTTGAATTGTGGAGATTGTGGGCTAATGACATTGTTTATTTTTAGTGTAGTATGGTGGTGTGAGCTTATTGCTTTCATCTAAACTTGACGACTATTAAATTATTAATCTTATATTCTTAAGTTCAAATAATTTCAATTTATTTATTTTGTTCTTCGAATGAGCTGACATATCAAACTTTTTTTTTTTTTTTTGTAACACATTGACATATCAAACTTTATTATTTGTTTGTAGTAGTAGAATGTGTGACATCAGTTTTCAAGGCTGTGGCGGTTACATACAACTGTTGGTTTTGTATATAGTCAAGTAACATTGAGTTTCAAGTTTCTAGTAAGCTGACATCAACCTTATCTCATCTTTAGATTTGCAATCAATTCGTATTTTACCCCCGGTACCATGTTCATTCTCAAAGTTATTTGGAGAAACCTCGTCAAGAAGTGTATGTAGCTCACATTCGGTGTATTTCCCAGGATTTGCAACAGCTGCGGTTATCTCACGTTAGATTCTCAAAACTTCTTCTCTCAGCTGCTTCTGAGATCAGTCTCTTGTCCTTAGATCTGTCTGAAGATTATTAAGGTGGTGGCCGAGCTGAGTTACACGGTGTTTGTGCAATCTTCAGAAACATATTTTTATCGTCAAGTTGTTGGCAAACATTGAGCGTTGAAGCTGTGGTAATTGAGCAGAAGCAGATGAACATATATGAAGTATGTCTTTCATAACCCAGGAAAATTCCATAATTTAATAAAAAAAAAGTTACATCACAGAGATGCAGATTCTATATTAATTATGGTCAGCAATATCCTTCATTTCTAATTGCCACATAAGTAGATGCACAAATGAAAAAAACGAAATATAGATTGATGATTTTCCAAACCCTCTAATTAACCAAGAAATATAAAAACAACACAATCTAATTAACTATATGGTGAAGATAATCAGAGCTGGCAGTTTAAATTGGAAAGGGAAGGTGAGGAAAGATGAGGAGGACAAACCTTTTCATCATTCAACAGAATGTCAACCCCATTATCTCCTTTTTTTTAAAAGATTAGGTGCCTTCTAGAAACGAAGGAGAAGCGTGACCACCAGCTGTGAAGAACCCGACCGGCAGATTTAATGTTCTTTTTTTCTTTTTTTCTTTTTTTCTTCCAAGTAAATTAATTTTTGGTTGTCTTTCCCATAATATTTTTGCTTCCGTTTGCTTGAAGATTTTTTTTTGGCTTGAAGATTATTATTATCTAAATTTCATGTAATCCACTTTTGAAAACCTAGATATCATTGGACTGGTTATCATTCTCTAGATTTGACAGAATATGTGTCTAGACAGCCATTTTGCTTATCATTCTTGTGATTTAATGCACCGAGTATTATTTTTAGATCCTAGACTAACCAATATTACATGAGAGTTCTGTGGATGTTCATTATTTTTTGTTATCCAAGAGTGTTAAAGCTTTGATAACTATGGCAGTGTTATTTTTAGGGAATTTGCATTGTATAATAATACCATTATACCTTCATGTATAACCGGTGTAACCTACACTAAAAAAATTTTTTTATTTAATGATTAGTGAATGGAGAAAGTAAAACGTGGCCTTCAATTAATCTCTCACCTTTCACAAAGTAAGTCTTCAATAGGAAATCTGGAAAGATGAATAGTTTCCTCTACACATTTGATCGACCAAGACACCACGAATACAGCCGGGAGAATTTTTGTGGAAGAGAAGACCACTTTCAAAGACTTTGTTGGTGATGGAAAGGGGAAGCTTCTTGGACTCCAAAAGTGATAGTCATGAGGACGTCGCAACAGAAAATCCGGCGAGGTGAAATACCTTCGATATTCTTGCAGAAGATTTTGTGGAGGAGAAGACCGATTACAAAGGCTCATGCGGAGAGGGAAGGCTGATCTTCTTGGATTCTGAAATCGATAAGTGCATCAAAACAGAACAGTTGTTGCGGCGAGGTGCAGTCATGATTTTTAATTCAACCTGTTGAAGAATATTACAGAAGGAAAGTTCAAGCATGTAAGTTGTTGTTCTTCTCTTATAATCTCTCAGTCTGGATTAATTTGTTGTTTCCTGTGAAATTGCTATTTGAAATCATGAAACCAAAAGTTTGGGACTTGCGTTTGGAATCTAGTGATCATTCTTTTATAATTTCAACTTATTTGGGTTATCCGAGTATAAAAATGGAATAGAAATGAGATCTGCATATACAATTGGCAGTTGTCTTGAGTATATATTTGTCAGTAGTATAAATTAACAACCTAGAAAGCTAAATGGAGTAGGTCTGAGAAATCTACATATACTAATGTTAATTGTTTTACGTATATACTTGTAAATGGAATAGAATAACAAAACTCGAAGGTACATGGAATAGCAAAGGTTGATACCATATGAATGAGTATAAATAGAACAAATTTCCCCTTGAAATCAAAATAGACTAAGAACTTTTCTAAATAGAATAAAAAAATATATGAATGGTTAATATGTATCTTGTTATAGCTTCTTGTAAACATCTAAGATTACAAACTCGTATAATAAAATGGACTTTCACATTCTTGTAAATACAACAGTTTTTAGTTATATGCTTTACATTAGTTTTTTGTCCTTATAGGCCTTCATTACTTCACTTATGCATTGAATTCTTTGGTTTACCCTTCTACATTGTTGTTATACTATGTGTTCTATTTCCCATGTATTTTTCTCTATTGATCTTAACACATTTACCTTTTCCTTATATGTTTCAGTTTGCAAATGGAAGATTTAGTTCTGCCAAGTAGATTGTTTGCCACCGTCAGACACAACCTCTCTTCCACCTTTATATATATCTTCTCCTATGTCACTGCCAGTGAGTAAAATGATCGGAAAATAAGCTTTTGTTTTTTTCGCTCTATTTTATGAAAAATATATAGAAGAGAAATGTAAAATTATTATGTTTGTTCTTCCACATGTAACATTGACACCACCACCACAAGTTGTTTCATCATCGCCAGTTTCTTCTCCCCCCCCCCCCCCCCCCCCACCGTCAGCAGCCATCGTCTCTTCTTCTCCTCCACCTCTCCCCTTTGTTGAATATCATGAACCAGTAGAGGTTGTACTATTAATAAATGTTATGTACTCCTATTTTGTATCGGTTACTTATGTATGTGATAAAAATCAGAGAAGATGACTTATTTTTATTCTATTCTATTCTATTATAAACATATAGTATGACATGTATCATGTTTACTATTACTCTACCTCTAACATCAACATTACCACTAGTTATTTTATTGTTGCAATAGTCTTCTCCTCCGCTGTCGCCACTTATAGATATTTCAATGCTTCATCGATTTTGTATAATATATGTTTACTCTAACACAAACATAATTTCCATTCCATTTTACACTAGCATAAGTTGCATACTATATGAATAAGAATGTAGTAAATATTATGTGTTTTTTTAGATTTGATATTTGGGTTTAGGTTTTAGTGATTAAGGTTTAGGGTTTAGTATTTAGAAGGCGAGGAGGCATGGTTGGGGTCAGCATTAACATCTTCAATGCAATCATAGATTTCATAAGTTCACCAATATATACTATGCTATTTATTTTGTTCCATTCTATTTGGACTTAGTTTCATATTTGGGTTTATGGTTATATTTGAGTTTAGGGTTTAGTATTTAGGGGTTAGGGTGGGATTAGACAAAGGTTTAATATTTATATTTAGGGATTGAGATAGTATTTAGGGGTTAGGGTGGGGTTGGACAATGCAATCATAGACATTTCATAATTTCACCAATATATACTATGCTATTTATTTTGTTCCATTCTATTTGGACTTAGTTTCATATTTGGGTTTATGGTTATATTTGAGTTTAGGGTTTAGTATTTAGGGGTTAGGGTGGGGTTAGACAAAGGTTTAATATTTATATTTAGGGATTGAGATAGTATTTAGGGGTTAGGGTGGGGTTAGACAATGCAATCATAGACATTTCATAATTTCACCAATATATACTATGCTATTTATTTTGTTCCATTCTATTTGGGTTTAGTTTCATATTTGGGTTTATAGTTATACTTGAATTTAGGGTTTAATATTTAGGGGTTAAAGTGGAGTTAGACAAAGATTTAATATTAATATTTAGGGATTGAGATAGTATTTAGGGGTTAGGGTGGGGTTAGACAATGCAATTATAGACATTTCGTAATTTCACCAAATATATACTATGCTATTTATTTTGCTCCATTTTGTTTGGGTTTAATTTTATATTTGGGTTTATAGTTATATTTGAATTTATGGTGTAGTATTTAGGGGTTAAGGTGGGGTTAGACAAATTTTTAATATTTATATTTAGGGATTGAGATAGAATTGATATCTTATACAATTATTGGTGATATAGAATAGAATTAGTGAAATATTCACCATTTATAGTATGTAGTAAATGAAATACGTCATTTATTTAAACAGTGTTCTATTTCTATCTACTCGTTTCACCATTGAAAGTGAAAACGTATGTGGTAACTAAGTGTGTGATGTATATAATTTGCGTGCTTTTTATTGTGAACGGTGTTAGTTAATTCTTGTCCATATTTTCTCTGGCTGACGTCACCACTCTCTTCTTCATCCATTTGTCTTCATTATCTTTTTTATTCACCGGGTACTTACAAGAAAAGAGGGTATAACCGACTCATTTATGGCATAAATGTTAGTTTGTTATTTATGTCAAAATCAATGACATTTTCTTAATTTTCATTATGAATTTGGTTATATGGCAAATTAACCCTTATTTTTAAACTTCAAAGGTATTTGTTTCCTAGTGCATGGACTTCTCGGTGATTTTTTTGTCTCAAAATCCAAAGATCAAAGATTGGAGATGTATCAGGTTTAATGGTGCTATACCAACTTTCAAGATAAAGACAGACATGAGAGCCTTCTACAGTGACATGTTTGATTACCTCTCTTTAAACCTACAAAACACATAACCAAGTGATGCCCCTATAGCCTAAGTTTCAAAAGACGTCTTCGGTTTTCATATTTGAGTCGTTGATCTTTTTTTTTTCTCTTATCCAAGCAAATCTACAACGCTCTTGGATGAAACTCATGTCGTTTTCCTGTGTGGATTTGAGCTCTCTTGCAAGTTGCAAGCGATCTTTCACTGCCATTGGTGTAAATCTGGAGGAACTGAAAATTAAATCTTTGAATAGAAAAAGTAAAAAACATAGATTTTTAAGTCTGATTGTTCACATTTGTAGCCATGTTCAAGATTTTACTCTCTTTTAGTTTCTTCTTATCTCCATCCGACGAATTGTCTTTAAACTCTGCATCATCAGACCCGTATTTCATCTTCTTCTTTATGTTATTGTTCTTCTTCTTCTTTGAATTTGAGTAGAGTATCTACGGTAATGTGGTGGCGTAGCTAATTCTCTAGCTCCCTGAATTTACAAAACGCAATGTATCATCAATTATGTAAGAATGTACAATCCTGGTTTCAGATCATAGTAATAGATGCTCAATAATACCTGAAGAGCATTGTCTACATTGTAGGAGGTGAGTTATACCCCTCCACAAGGCCCATCAAATGAGGAAACTTAGCCCAGCGTGACAATATACTCGGCCCACCGAGTAACACCAAAACGACTCGGTATGAGGCGCGTTTAGTAGCGCGACTAAACGTGTTCTAGAAGAGTCGGTGGAAGTACGATTTACCCGGACTACTAAACGGGCCTAGCAATAATAAGGCCCAACAAGGCTCGGGTAAGCTAGGGCGAACACGAAGATTGGATCTATAAAAGGAGAGGAGCAGCAAAGGGAAAAGGGGGATCCGCAATTAGACATACTCACTTGGCGGCTAGATCTAGGGTTTCTTAGCGACTAGGTGGTTAGATCTAGGGTTTACTCACCTTCCCGTTTACTCACCTTACCGTTTACCCGTCATCCCGTTTACTCACCATCTTGTATTTCCGGCTAGTCCGTCTCTTGTTTACTTGTCTCTCTGTAACTCCTTGTTCAGATCTAATAAAACGTCTTTGTTCGCCCTCATCTCTCTCTTTATATTGTTCAAACCATTTTCACCTCAAACAATTTGGCGCCCACCGTGGGGCTCTGAACAAAGTAACGTTATCAGATCTAGA